CAAATAATTTATTCAGACGGTGCAGCGGAAAAAAAAACATCATGAGCTGAGTGCCTCCGGAAAGGAAACTCCACCAAAGAAATCCCCGGGCAATTATACACTTAGAATCCACGTACCCGCCCCTCATGTGCCTTTCACACGCCTTCTGGTCCAGGGGTGATTTCTGGCCTGGGATCTTCTAGGATCCACCTTATTGGATTCCTTCTCTGTCTTCAGGCAGGCTGTTATCTTGTCAAGTTGCATCTTCTGCTAACGGTTGTAGCCTCCTTATTTTCGGGTTTGCGGTGGATCTGGAGACCCTCTTTTGCTTGCCTAGGTAAAAAGTTCAGCATATCTAGGTGAAAGTTCACAGTTTGTGGCCTAAGGCTTCAGCAGATCTAGCTACTGATGCTAAGTAATGCCAAGCAGAATACAAAACCGCACAACATTACGCTGCAACCCCTGGGTCCTAACGCTAAATGATCGACTCCGAGTAATTAATTCCATTTAAAACTTGCATATTTAAGCTAAACGACTAGTAGTTCTTAACACTGGCACGGTTCAGATGGCTATCGCAGCCCAAGATTTTCAAAGAAAAGCAGAGACTCGCTTGTCAGGACCCGTGTGAACATGCAGCAGAGAGGACAGTCCCATGGCAGTGCTGGCACATTGACTGCTCGTGTCATGGAAGAGGATCAGGAGGGCTGGACCTTGGACAAGGGGAAATTTCCACTTTCGGTGAAAAAGCAGTGACAGACGTGGGAATTACTAACTGAGCTGTGTTACAAGTGCAAACTCAAATACACCTGTGAGGATCATTTCTCCCCAAACATGGTTGTGGCCAGTGGTGTCCTCCTTGGAGACGACTGGCATTAACTCTTTTGGGGAAATCCCAAGAGGTTACTGGGTTTTTCTTTCTCACATCTTCCTCCTCCCAGTGAACCTTCTTCATTGCGTTTCCCTTCACAGGTATAGGCTCCCATATTTTTAATCGAACACAAGAATAAAATGCAGGGGAGGATTTATACTGCCTTTGAATATGTCTTTTTTAAACAGTAACATCTAAGTGGTGACATTGTGTATATTTCCATCCTGTGATCCTACAGGGATTTGTGACTGGTGGAAAAGATGGAATCGTGGCCCTTTGGGATGATATGTTTGAAAGATGTCTGAAGACGTACGCTATTAAAAGAGCAGCACTATCTGCCAGTTCTAAAGG